TGGAGATCGCTAAACTGCAAGCTAACCGGTGTTTTCAGAAAGCAAGCACGTTTATCCACAGTGGAGAGAGCGCGCGTGCACATGGTTGCCAGGTTGACAAAGTAACACACTTGGCAGATATTTCCGTATTGCGCAAGTGGGAAGCTCTGTTTCGGGGATTACGTCTCTTCATATCAGGCAGTGGTGTAGTCTAGTTTTTTTGTAGTGAGTATACTGTGATTTTTTTCCACCCAGCCTCATACTCACCCGTCTCAGAGCGACACCCCATAAGCACCATCACTAATGCATACAGTTTGCATCTGAGAGCATTCTGAAAGACTGCTGGTGTGACATCAACATGTCAATTTAAAATTTTTTAAAAACATCTTTAAATTTCAAAGATGCTGAAACTGTTGTTCATGCGTTTATTACGTCGTGTCTGGATTACTGTAACTCCTTGTTTTATGGCCTACCCAACAAAGTCCTTAATCGCTTGCAGCTTATTCAGCAGCTCGTGTTCTTACATTTACCAAAAAATCTGCCCAGATCACTCCGGTTTTACAGCAATTATATTGGCCCCCTGTCAGCTATCGTATTCAGTTTAAGATTCTTGTTTTAGTTTTCAAGGCCCGTCATGGTTTAGCACCTTCTTACCTTTCTGAATTAATTCTCCCCTATGTCCCTGCTCATACGTTGAGATCGAATTCTGAAAATATACTTGCATTACCCAAATTCTGGCTATCTGCATTTCCGTTGTCAAGCTCTGGAATAAACTACCACAATATCTCTGTGTTATCTCTTCACTCCAGACCTTCAAAAACTGCTCTCAAAACTCACCTATTTACAATGTTTCTAAATTAATTGCTTGCCTTAATTTTCTGTTCTATGCTTTTGTAACTTATCTTGTATATTGCATATTATTTCACCTCTGTCTGCTGTTTGGCTGTTTATATGTTGTATACTATCTGTTATTTACCTTATGTAAAGTGTCCTTGGGTGTTTGAAAGGTGCTATATAAATGAAACGTATCATTATTATTATTTCTTAATTTATTATAAGCAACACAAGACTTTAAGCTGGGGAGACTGGACTGATTTTCTACTGTTGAACTCAGCCAGTTAAGAGCTACATATATCCTTAGATGTTAAATGAATATGGTACAGGTTTTATCAGCTGGCAATTTTCAATGCACATTTAAGAGTGCCTGTTTTTAAATTCCCTAGCCTGACTTTCAGTCCACAAGGTTGTTCAGGAGTTCTCATCTCTCTCATTATCTGAAACAAGGAGAGATAAACATTGTATTCGGTTTACTGCTGTACACAGACACACAGTATCTAAAGAGAAATATTAAGGGAATAATTCAAGACAGTTTTATGCCGTTATCAGCATATGTTGAAGTAGATTTGTCTCTTGTTGTCTCTGAGAGAATGTGCGCCGTCAATTTTTACTTTTTTACTTTCACATTGTATAATTGACCGAGGTTAAGAGGTTCACCAGCATAACTCTTGCGCAAAGTTTGCACACTGCTTAATATCAGCATTCATGGTTTAAAACAGAAATATTTCCAATATTGCGACGTAACAGTGACAAATCGCCCCGCGATTCTGCGCTACGCCACTGTGAGGGGGACCAAAGGAACGCTATCAATCACGGATTGATCGCGAATGGACCGTGTGAAAGTTGTCACAAAACGTGTGACACGTATGACACGTGTGTTACGTATCCTCACGCTTTTTTAAGCGGGTATACGGAAATCCTTGACCTTTCCTAGTAGGTATACGGCGTATACCTGCGTATCACGTAGACTATACCACTGATATCAGGCAACCCCGGTTGTGTTCCTCTGCGGCCAGATCAAACCTCCTTGTAGCCTATATTATGCTCTATTCAATATTTTTTAGAAACCTTGCACTTTTCTACTTGTTTTAAACGGTGTTCTTTCAAATTAAGCGTGGTTCACTGCAGGTGCCCAGGGCCAGCTGTATCGATACTTGTATCGTCAGATCTCTGTGACGATACATCGTCGTATCGATGTATCGAACCCAGCACTAGTCATTACTCCAGTCTTCAGTGTCACATGAACCTTCAGAAATCATTCTAATATGCTGATTTGCTGCTTAAGAAACATTTCTTATTATTATCAATGTTGAAAATACTTTTTCAGGATTATATGATGAACAGAAAGTTTAAGACTTATTAAGAAAGTTCAAGTTTTATTTTTTATATCAATACATATATATTAGCTTTTTCTGTCTTTGATCAACTTAAAGCACACTTGCTATATAAAAGTATTAATTTCTCTAAAAAAATCTTACTGACCAAACTTTTTGAACAGTAGTTTAAATATGAAAACAAAAAAATTACACTGCCCATATATCATGCATCCCTAGAAAAAACACACAGGAATCACACTGCAAAGCCCACTAGCATGAAGTGACACTCTATAAGTACAGAAATAATAAAACTCACCCCTCCTGGCCCCAGAGAGCCTGGCCTCCTGTGTGTTTTAGTTTGTCCATGGGAAGCTGGCTGACCTTTGAACCCCCAGCGCTTCATCACTCCCTGAAAACCTTTGCCAATTCTACAATAAAAAAAAAAAGAGTTTAGTACAGTAAAGATGTAAACACAACATTTAGTCATCATACACTGTGTAACAACATAAGAGATATGTGGATGAAGCTGCAGACAGGCAGGATCTCAGGCATGAAATAGGGCTGACACGACTCAGACGCTATGATTAATCAAGAGTTCTTTGATGCAAGGCTCTCTTCATTAAAGGGGTGGTTGATTGCGATTTCACTTTTTTAACATTAGTTAGTAGTATTAGACAACAACAAACAAAAAACATAGGCCTACCATTAAAAGCTGTGCTTGCACAGGTTCTGCATGATCCTCTTCAATAATATCCTCTGCTTCTCAATCGGGCTTAAACTGATAAGCGATGTGTTTACAATACAACCGGAGCACATGCTGCTGAGGTGAGGGGCGGGACATTTAGACGCACACTAGAGGCGGTTTAGCCAATCACAACACACTGGGCTAGCTAACCAATCAGAGCCCATCGCCTATTTCTGAGGGCGGGGTGTCATAAAAGCAGGAAATGATCAGCACGATTCTCAGAGAAGGGACAGAACGGTGTGGAATAAAGGTAAATTATGTGAAAAATGTGTTTTTTTAAAAACGAAGCATTAACACGTGTTAGACTGCACCCCATAAACACAATCAAGCCTAGAAAAAAAACAGTGTACCACCCCTTTAAAGGTGATGGGTGTCATTTCTTTCAATGTTAAAATACTTATCCCAGTATAATATGCAGAGACAAACAGAAGCAAGCCATTTAAAAATTCACAATACTTTGGCGCCATCAAATCATTGCTCTGTTTATTTGTGCAACCCGACCAGATTGACATTGGATCAACCAATGGTTTGAGTTTGGGGTGAAACTATCCATTTGTTTGACCAATTGTAGATTTTCAGGAAACCTGTTTGAAAACAATCATTATTTTTGCAATTCCATTTGATGACACTAGTGGCACTTTTACTGAAAATGCACAATTGCACACACTTTAAAGCAGTGGTTTTCAATCCTGGTCCTGGGGACCCACTGCTATGCACATTTTTGGTGCTTTTCCACTGCATGGCACGGCACGGCTCGCTTTTGGGGGGGTTTTCACTGTGTACAGTACCACCTTGGCTGAGGTTCCAAGCGAACCGTACCGTTACCAAAATGTGACATGTAAACCCTGCTGATCACTGATTGGCCGGAGAGAATCATCACTACCTGCGTCATTGAACTTGCGACACGAGACCCCTCTGTTGCTGCTCACAATTCAAGTCAATGAATGTTCCAACCCTTGCTACATTTGTTAAATTACTGCTAGCACTGCATAAATAAGGAAAGGTTATTCTTCCTTGGCCAGGAAAATAATCTTTCTTTGAATTGATAAATGATTATTTTGTCTGCTCGGTGGACGGACAGATCAATTAATGGTAATATTGATTCTGCTACAGTTAATTCAAAGATCTAATCTAAATATTTATTATGAATCATAACCAGTTATAATTCGTCATAAATATTTCCCTTTTTGAGTTGAAAAACCCTACACCAGTGAGGATCGAACGCAACTTTTTTTGAATGAACGCAACAGTTTCGTACGAGCGCACCTTTTTTTTAAAACAACAAAATAATGGCTGTTTCGTGGTCTGTTGAGGAAGTACAGACGTTCCTCTCATTGATAGCCGAGGAGCGGATCCAGTGAGAGCTTGATGGGACGACACGGAATGAAAAACTATTTCAGGAGGTCGCGGCAGTAGAGGCGGCACAACTATAACGACATGTCTATGATCCCACCCACTCTAAGGCGGTACTAAACTGCAGTGGAAATGCAAACAGAGCCGTATCATGCAGTGAAAAAGCGCCATTTGTATGTCTCTCTTATCTGATACACTCAGTGCAGTTCATGGAGCTCTTTCCTAACAAGCTGATGATCCGAATCAGGTGTGTTAAATAAAGGTGACAAAATGTGCAGAGCAGTGGGTCCCCAGGACCAGATTAAAAACCACTGCTTGAAAGTGTTAGAATATGGTTCCTTTTCAATTATCCTAAAGGGAAAATGAAAATAAATTATTGTGAATCCCTAAGGACTCACTCCCTGAGATTCACAAGCTCATGAGACCCTTCAAATTAGATGGAAGGAAGGAAGGGGGTTAAAGGGAAAGAGTCAGATCAGGCACTCCCATTTGGGACACAGGGTTCCCACTCTTTCATGAACACCAGATTCAAGGACTTTTTAAAGCACTATTTATTTAATTTCAAGCACCTATCAAATTCACACCACAGCAAATGTAGCATCATGAAAGACCTGTTACAGTACTTAACTTTTCACTTACACTTAACATTTACATTAAAAATTTCAGAGTAATGAGGTTTTGAATGTGTAGGTTTCATAAATTTAGACCACTTTGAGCAGTTGTGTTTTTAAATCCATTGAAGTCAACGGAGTTCACACTGGTAATATTCAAATACAATTTCTCAAATATTAATAAAAATATATATTCTTGCATCACACTGGTTTTTGCTGTAATTCTTTTAAAAGATTGAATCAGTATTAAAAAAAATAATTTGTACCACAGAGGTGGCACAGAAGAACACAAAAGTGGCTTGTAGGTGTATTTTCAGATGTTTAATGAAGCTCAGAGGTGGCATGAGTGGAATTAAATTCATAAATTCATGTTGAGGTTAATATTTTAAATATAAAATTTTGAATATAGAAATATTAAACAAATTAAATAACAGAAAATATCCTTAAAAATGGAAGTAAAACTGCCAGTAGGTGGCGGCAAATCATTAAGTTTATCACTGAATCATTCATTCAATTGATTTGTTCGAACAACTAATTCATTCAGGAATGAAGCAAGTGACTGGCTTTATGAATGGGTAATGGATTCAGATTTGTTTAAAAACGCACGTTCATTCATAAACGAAACACCGCTGTGTTTGCTTGGAAATGCGCAGCGGCTCAGCTGTGACTTTGTTTGAAACTATTTTCGTTGATGAAATAGAGCAAAATCAGGCAATAGTGTTGTAGTCAGACAATGCAAGTCACTTAATATTAATTTCTTGTTTAATGAACTGTTGTATTAAATCAATATCACATTTGCAAACTCCCTTAATAATCATTAAAAGCGGTCACTCAACTCATCGCGATCTCACAAAGTTCCATTATAATCGACGAAGCTCCCTACACTGCACAATGAATCTCTTATTTACACCCTGTCAACACTGTGTTTGTTATAATGAGAAGATATGTCTGTGATACATGCTAACAGTGGGTGGTGGTCACGAAGATGACTGAGCAAATTTGATGCGTTTCCCCCTTTTGCAGCGACTTTCTTCTTGCAAGATCAGCAGACAGGGTGACCGTCCTCGATTAAATTGCCTTCAGTACTCTTGTAAAAGCCAAAATACGACCAGACCACCGATTTGGTTCTCTTAGATGGCTGAAAAATCTCCCGAGCGCTGTCACTGCCTTCCGCCATTTCGTCTCGTGCAAAAAAAACAACAACAACAACATTGCATGCTGCTTCTGCGTCAGACTGATGCTGGCTGGACAGGATTTACCGCGAGTTTTCAAAAGCGCGATAATCAAACACGGTTTTGATGATAATTAAATTTTAAACGGTAATACTAACCGTCAGGTCATTTTATCGTGATTTATCATGAAACCGGTAATCGTTCCATCACTATGATCGGGTCAGTCGCACTGGTGCTCCTAAATATTTTTTTTCAAAGTTGCATGCAGTAATTTTAATTCGCAAATGCACTGCTTCTCCATAGGTTCATGCAGGGCTGCGCATCAGCTCACACACTAAGTTATTTTTTTCTCGCGGTACCCTATCTCAACCCCCAATCATTAGTGCAGTTTCGTTTTGTCTTTGACAGCGCATATAGGACAATTTTTGAAATAGCACCATTCTACTAAACAAAATTTATTTCAAATTTAATTCAAGCACTTTCAAGGACTTATATTTGTTTTCAAGTACTTTCCAGGCCCTGAATCCATGCGTCTGATATTCAAGTACTTTCAAGAAGCGGGGGAACCCTGGGGACAGTAGGATGCACGCCTTCTGCTGACCAAAATATCAGTCAATCAAGCTTTTTGACAGCATTTGAAAAACGCATCTCCCTTTCATCCCATTTAAGTCAGAAAGTGAAAAGAGTTTTGAAAAATTAATCTAAGAATGAGGGGAACGGACAAAATCTAGTGTTGATTAAATCATCAGCTCATAAGATCATGAAACGTGTCGGCGCCGATGGCCTCGTGGGCAGCATGCCGAGCACTGCCGACATATAGCGCCTTTGCGCTACGGGCGTCCCGAGTTCGAGTCCCGGCTCGTGGACCTTTCCCGATCCCACCCCCCTCTCACCCACTTCGCTTCCTGTCGACCTACTGTCCTATCTAAATAAAAGGCATAAAATGCCAAAAATAAATCTTTAAAAAAAAAAAAAGATCATGAAACGTCATGCACTGCTAATATCCCCCCCCCCCCACTTCGCTTCCTGTCGACCTACTGTCCTATCTAAATAAAAGGCATAAAATGCCAAAAATAAATCTTTAAAAAAAAAAAAAGATCATGAAACGTCATGCACTGCTAATATTACTAAATGGAAATTCAAAAATAATGACGGATTCATACATTCCCTGTCTTCCTTTGGTCAAACAGACAGAACTCCGACCCAAACTCATGCCATAGTTTGAGCCAATGTTGCTATGTCAGACTGGTTAAACAAGGAGCAATATTTTGAAACACTATGTTTTAAATGGGAATGAATCTACAAATGGCTTATTTATAGTTTTATAGTCTTTGCATATTAAGCTGGAATATAAGAATGTAACATGAAGAAAAGTAATCTTTTTTTTTAATTAAAATTATTTTTAATATTTTCACCTTAAAACGTGTAATTACACTTTGTGTGTGTGTACTTGACTCACGTTTTCGCTGTGACATCCACATATTGTCCTGGACAGAAGTGAGCTGCATAGAGAGGAGTGCCTAGACAAAAAAAAAAAAAAATAATAATAATAATACAAAACAGAAAGAACACACAAAAAAAAAAAAAAATTTAAATAGTAAAAAAAATAAACAAGAAAAACAAAAAACAAAACAGAAAACAAAAACAGCCGTACATGACAAGAAAAAAAAAACATAAAAACACAAACATAAACATCAAAACAAGTTTTATTTACTCAAACATGAAAGTAGAGGTATACAGCTGAAATTACTTAATTCTTTATCTGGCGATAAGCAAAGAGTTTTGACGGGTGAAGTAACCTGGTTTGATGATGGCATTGTCTGACACACAAAACGTGGTGAGTTTCTGTTTGGGAGGAACTCCTGCATTCCGGAAAACCTCTAAATATCCCTCTGGCCTCTGTGAGAAAGACAGATTAACTTTCAATTACTTCAAGTAATTTACTAACATATATAATCATACAAAAGGAGAAAGGGAGAATGAAAAAGAGAATACATTAAACCCAAACTGCTCTGCTGTGTTTTGGGAGTTGATTGACTGGCTCTAGAGAGACTGAAGGCTCAGACTGAAGGTCAGGACAACTGACAATTATACTTCAAGCAGCACTTTGTGGCAGCTGTCAAATATAGACAGAAGACACACAAATATACACACTAGCTTACTGCCAAAAGGGAAAAAAAGGGACACCGACCAAAGTTTTTATTCATTACAAAGTCCATAGAACAGTTTAGTTCAGCTCTTTTTTTTCTAGCACCAATAGAGAAAGACAAGTGAGGAGGGAGAGAGAGAAGAATATAATGAGAAAAGTTGCACAAAAGACAAGTCGTCCTAGTTTTCCAATATAATTTCCCTTTACATGCACATACACACAAAGGTGACCTCTACATCTACTGTGAGCTCAGTAATTTCTCTCCAGGAGCTCTTCAGGTCTTATTATACTCCCTCTCCAAAGAAGCAGAAAAGCTCTAGTCTATTATCCTGAGAGGTCAATGACTGACAGAAAGGTGAAGAGACAACGGTTTGTTATGAGGGGGAGAAAGTGTGTGGACAAGAGCGGTCTTATTGAAAAAGGTTAAAGTCAGATGTTACTCACATGAAACGGAGAGATGTTTTTTCCACCCACAATCAGGGCCGCTGTGCGTCCATTATACTCTTCCTTGGATAGATGTTTCACAACATGGCAGTCTTGCACCTGAGAGAGATATGGATGTGTTACTCTGTCTCTTATATTTGATTGAGATGCCATTGGAAGTTCAGCTTCCTGGAACAAGCTTAGAAAAAAATACCATGCTCAGGGACACTAACTCCATGGAGGCTGATTCTGGTGTTTTTACAGATCTTTAACTATGTTTAATCATGTTTCCATACCTCAGCAGTACAATATAATAGACTAGATTAATTGTATTTATCACTAATGCACCAATACAGTATAATTTGGAGACTACAGTGAGATCTAGAGTTGTCACAACACGTTAAACATACCCTACTGGGGAAGTCGTGGCCTAATGGTTAGAGAGTCGGACTCGTAACCCAAAGGTTGCGGGTTCGAGTCTCGAGCCGGCAGGGATTGTAGGTGGGGGGAGTGAATGTACAGCGCTCTCTCCCACCTTCAATACCACGACTGAGGTGCCCTTGAGCAAGGCACCGAACCCCCAACTGCTCCCCGGGCGCCGCAGCAAAAAATGGCTGCCCACTGCTTCCGGGTGTGTGTTCACGGTGTGTGTGTGTTCACTGCTGTGTGTGTGCACTAAGGATGGGATAAATGCAGAGCACTAATTCCAAGTACGGGTCACCATACTTGGCCACATGTCACATCACTCACTCACTCAC